ACCCTCCCACGTTTCAGACAGTAAAGAATAATTTGATTCTGCAAAACTCTGATTCCTTTAGATTATGGAAAACCTATTTATCATCTTATTATTGGAGCTTATTTAATACTAGGGATCGAACTTTGGATATTATTGTCCGAATAAATGATTAACAAATATTATGGTAAAGGAATACGCCCACCCACTTTTCAGACCGTAAAGAATAATTTGATTCTGGAAAACTCTGATTTCATTAGATTATGGAAAACCTAACTATTTATCATCTTATTATTTGAGCTTATTTAATACGAAGGCTTGGACTTTAGATATTATTGTCAGAATAAACTATTAACAAATCTTATGGTAAAGCAATATGCCACCTTTACCATTTTCCTCAAAAAGGGACACAAGCAGTTCATAGATGGACAATAAAATGATCTTATGTGTAGAATACTTGCTGTAACAATTATAAGCAAAGTAGAAGTTTGGAGATCACCAGTAATAGTTCATCCTGCATGTTTTCTATGTGTCCTGTTCATTTCATATATGTGCAGCGGTTTGTGCAAAAAAAAAGGCAGCTCAACGGACATGGTGTGATCAAGCCCTAATACTCAACCTCCTTTAATTGGATTCCCAAAAGTTATGGTTGGATATACCCTGCAAGATTAGCAAAACTGTGTCTGAAATACAGAATCACCACAAATAGAGAGCTTATGTTGAAGGACAGTGCATCAGGTTTTGAAAAAAACTAAATTCAAAAAGTAAACTGTTCAATAAATGACCTGACAACATAGGCAACATGCTGCAAATGGTGCCAAATCTTATCGTTTTAGGTTGCATTTATCGCACTTTCTGACCACACGCGGCATAGACTACTCACTGTCTTCCAGGTACACCTTGGGAGATGGATGTTGAGATTCTTCTCTCAAACAGATGGAATAGATAACCTGCCTGGGCTGTTTGTGACCAGTGCTAGAAATTACATTAGGTATATTTATCGTCACAATGTCAAATTTCTTTTTGAACAATCTATGGAACCTTTTACTATGATGTAGGGTCACCCATGGGACTATACACATATACATTTAGACTTTTGGTCTGCATTACATAACACCCATCCACATTAAATACTCGATTGTAGGAAATGATCCAACCACTAAAATGTAGGTAGGCTGGCTGTTATGAATAACAAGTTCACCTTCTACTGAAGTCAGGATCAACGGGCTGTTGCTTGGAAATTCCCAGTGTGACAAAAATACAGGAACTTCTATCCTGTTTAATGATAGTAACCTCCATATAGTTTTAATTGTCTTCCATACCTACTGAAATCAGTGATTAAATAGACATTTACTGTCTAACTTTCCTTTAACAACAGATTCTACATATTTGACTACAGGGAAAGAGAAGGGAGGGCGAGTCATGTGGAGAAAAATGATACCAAATAGAATACATTTACAAGACTGACATGTTCATGTGACAATGCTGTTACCTGTCATCATAAGATGTTATTCTTTTGCCTTCCACGGTTCTGGAGGGGGTGAAGGATAGAAGACCTAGATCATTTAGCTCTGTCAGGAAGTGTTGCTCTATTTGGGGAAAAAAAAAAAAAAGATAAAAAAGTAACTATTGTGTATGCCTTATCACTTTCGGCTCTGAAAAACTGTATATTTACATCATAAGGAAACATTACAAGTTTGCATGGATTGTTAAAATACATTTAAGCTAACACACTGTCCCTAGAATAGGTATAGTGCATCACCCACACCTTGTACTATTAATATATATATATAATGTACTATTTTTATTATTATTTTAAATTCAGGTTGCAAACATTTTAGTGGAGTATATCTTTAATGCTGCCAAGTGGCAGCATCTGGAGTGTAAAGTCTACACCGGTCTATAGGCTGTCACAGTTAGCAACGCTATGTCTTTGCATTCTCTATTAGTTTTTGTTTGCCTGGGTTGCTCTTTGGACCTTTCCTCCCCATAAGCCAGCTAATAATAAGGGCGTTTTGTCAGCCTCTTGTGATCTCACTAGACATTGCTTGTAAGTGTGATTCCTTTTCTTTTTGTTGTTGCCGTGTACAGTACTTCTGAGATGTACTATGTTAGGAGCTGCAAGGATGTGGATTATTTACGACACCTTGGAACTGACACTCGATTTTGTATCCTGTGACTGTGTTTTTTACTATATATATTTATTAGTGATGCACCCATACCGTTTTTTCGGTATCGAGTACAGATACTTTTTTTTTCTGTACTTGCTGCTACCTAGGACCGGTGCCGTGTGCCCAGATTATCAGGAACTCAGGCGGCGGATCATGCTTCGGCACTCTTCCTGACCAATCAGGAAGCCGAGCGGCGAGTCATGAGGTGCCATCCAGCTTCCTGATTGGTCAGGAAGCCAGGTTGCCTAGCAACAGGTGAAGCTGGCTTCGTAGTCAATCAGGAAGCCAGCCGACACGTCATGACCCACCTCCCAGGTTCCTGATTGGCTAAGAAGCTGGCGTCACTTGTTACTAGGTAGCGTGACAGTCAGGAAGCTGTGACGCAAGTCATGACATGCCGCCCGGCTTCCTGATTGACTAGGAAGCTGGCTTCACTTGTTCCTAGGCAGCCTGGCTTCCTAACCCATCTGGAAGCCTGGAGGTGGGTCATTACGTGCCGCCCAGCTTCCCGATTGGTTAGGAAGCGAGACTGCCTAACAACAAGTGAAGCCGACTTCCTAGCCAAATCAGGAAGCCGAGAGGCGGGTCATAACCCACCGCCTGGCTTACTAATTGTAAAGGAAGCCAGCTCCATGCTCCCTCGGCACTGCTGGTCAGAGGGAGATTTCCCTCTGACCAGAAGTTCTGGTATTGGAGGTAAGTATCAGAGCATCGATATCGATACCGATAATAGTATCTTTATTGGTGCATCCCTATTTATATATATATATATTTTTATAGATCCTTTTGGGTCTGGGGTCACTCTCCCAGTGTGCACACCCTGTTTTATATGTGTGTAAATTCAATTAACGAGGAATTTTATCATTTTAAATTAGCTAAATGCATTCCAGATGCATAAAAACAAAAGGTGTTCAAAGTCTGCCGAGTTGGACCCATGCTTCTCTGTATGAAAGCATTGGTCTCTCTGCAGAGGTCCAATATGCTCCCTGCCGAGTCAGAACCAGTTCTGACCAATCAACAGGGAGCATGAGCTTTGATGATTGCAGAATTATAAGTCTGACTCAGTAAGGGGTATGTCTGACCTTTACAGAGAGACCACTGCTTCTATATAGACAGCAAGGGTCTCAATCTGCAGCTGCTCTCAGGGCACAGGTTTTTCTACTGAGCTAGACTATATTTGCTTTAGACAGAAAACAAACTGTATGAACAACTTTTTTTTTGATGCACCTGGAATGTAGCCCAACTGTTCAATTGGGCTTTAAAGCAACTAGCCTACCGTTCCTTAAATGTGGTGACTGTATTCGTTTTTTGACAGGGGTATTTACAATGGTCAGCTTTTTTCATTTATGTAAAACCGTTATCCCAAAAGGAAAAAAAAACTGTTGCTGTAAAGCGTAAGCTGGACTTTGGATTTAATTTGTTAGTCAAGTCCTAGTTCATCAAACGCTACCCTCTCAACTTGTTGACAATGGTGTTGTCCAAGAGTGGCTCCATTGCTACTCTATAGCATAGATCTGCCCTAAGGCAGAAAGTGTATTACTGGCCGGATCACCAGATGAAAATACAGGAACAAATACGCCTAAAAAAGGAACTAACGCAGCCACCACATCTAATGATTGGTAAGCTGCAATATATTTTATTTTGGGTTTTGGATTTAGAGACACTTTAAGTATAGAATGGAGTGACACCAGACTGCTTCTGCTACAGAATTCAAGCTTGGATATAATGAGGCTATGCACCAGCAAATTAGTGGTAACACGTGTGAGAAAGGAATGGATGTCGGATATGTTTTTAGAGACAACAGGAATTGGTTAGTGAGTGAGGGAAGAAAGTAGAATCAAGTACTACCCCTAAGCAATGAGCCTGAGCAGCTAGGGTATTAGGAGTGTTGTGGACACTCATTGTCCTTTCGTGTAGGTGAAGAGTAAGATGTCAGCATTTTCCATACGAAATGAGTGTAAAGTAGGGATGCACAGATACTTTTCGAGTACCAGTGCAGATACTTGGCATTTTCACGAGAACTACCAGGGTTGCATAGGTTGCAGCTGGGACCTAAATCTGGCGCTCCACCACTGTCCTGAAATCATTGTATTGTTTTATAAAAACTGACATGACAATAAACACAAATGTATCAGTACTTGGACAAGTATCAGTACTTGTACTCGCAAAACTGGTATCTGTGTATCCCTTTATTTATAAAAACAAAATCATACATTAAAACAGAGATGTACAAATCCCAGGAGCTCCGTGTGCTCCTTAACAATGACAGTTGCCTCCTAACTATTTGAATTTTTCTCTAGTCTAGTCTTGGAGCTGGAAAAGTATCTGTACTTGTACCGAGTACTGTACTTAGTATCGGTGCATACCTAGTGTAAAGGAGAGCAGACGGGAAAACCAGACAGTAGTTCAGTGACAATTGGATCTGCAGGATTGACATGACTAAAGTTTTCTTCTTTTTTGGAATCATATTTATCAGCCATACATCTTCAATGTATATAAGCAAAGGACAAAATGATGTTATTATATTGCTTGCATCCACTGGCTCATTCAAACAACGAGTATGAGGACCAGCTTTTTGGAAGCAAGCATCATTTTTTATGAACCATACATAGTTAAATATCTTTTCCTACATTACTGGAAATACATTTTTATTTCTGAGAGATGGGCTGATGATGCATGGATAGTAGAAATGTGAGAAAGTGGAGTTGCCCACAGCAATCAGATTCCAGTTGTCCTACACAAAATGGCAATAATAGAATGGAGTGACACCAGACTGCTTCTGCTACAGAATTCAAGCTTGGATATAATGAGGCTATGCACCAGCAAATTAGTGGTAACACGTGTGAGAAAGGAATGGATGTCGGATATGTTTTTAGAGACAACAGGAATTGGTTAGTGAGTGAGGGAAGAAAGTAGAATCAAGTACTACCCCTAAGCAATGAGCCTGAGCAGCTAGGGTATTAGGAGTGTTGTGGACACTCATTGTCCTTTCGTGTAGGTGAAGAGTAAGATGTCAGCATTTTCCATACGAAATGAGTGTAAAGTAGGGATGCACAGATACTTTTCGAGTACCAGTGCAGATACTTGGCATTTTCACGAGAACTACCAGGGTTGCATAGGTTGCAGCTGGGACCTAAATCTGGCGCTCCACCACTGTCCTGAAATCATTGTATTGTTTTATAAAAACTGACATGACAATAAACACAAATGTATCAGTACTTGGACAAGTATCAGTACTTGTACTCGCAAAACTGGTATCTGTGTATCCCTTTATTTATAAAAACAAAATCATACATTAAAACAGAGATGTACAAATCCCAGGAGCTCCGTGTGCTCCTTAACAATGACAGTTGCCTCCTAACTATTTGAATTTTTCTCTAGTCTAGTCTTGGAGCTGGAAAAGTATCTGTACTTGTACCGAGTACTGTACTTAGTATCGGTGCATACCTAGTGTAAAGGAGAGCAGACGGGAAAACCAGACAGTAGTTCAGTGACAATTGGATCTGCAGGATTGACATGACTAAAGTTTTCTTCTTTTTTGGAATCATATTTATCAGCCATACATCTTCAATGTATATAAGCAAAGGACAAAATGATGTTATTATATTGCTTGCATCCACTGGCTCATTCAAACAACGAGTATGAGGACCAGCTTTTTGGAAGCAAGCATCATTTTTTATGAACCATACATAGTTAAATATCTTTTCCTACATTACTGGAAATACATTTTTATTTCTGAGAGATGGGCTGATGATGCATGGATAGTAGAAATGTGAGAAAGTGGAGTTGCCCACAGCAATCAGATTCCAGTTGTCCTACACAAAATGGCAATACCCATGATGTTACGGTTTCTCCTGATTTCACGTAAGTCCACCCGCTCCTCTACACAGAATGCCAGTATCCAGCTAGATGGATATCAGGAGTAGCACATATCACGTGCAGGTCATCAACTTCAAGTAATTGTAAGATGTAATAGCTCATATACTCTAGAACAGTGGTTCTCAACTCGTGGGTCGCGACCCAAAAGTGGGTCGCGACACCCTCTGCAGTGGAAGTCAGCTGCAAACCACAGATACAAATTTTTTAGCACATTTATTATGTGCAGCTGCAGTGAGAGAAGATTGGACAGTAGCACTATATCTACCAATAGAGGGCAGTAGAGCCTAAAAGGATAAAGAAAAGCCTGATCATTTAACAAGACCTGGATAAATGACATCTGTAACATCAGCTTCCCAAAAAAATGCTAATATTTGCTGCCCAAGCATGATTATTTTAAAGAGACAACAAAAAGAATTGTAGAAAAGTATAATATAGATTTGTTATATTCCACATTCAATAATAATTTGCTCACTATTTTTAATAAATCTGACTGACATAATGAGAAAATCTGAGACCTGTATTGCACAGGCAGATACATTATGTTACGGTTGAATGTAGTGGATGTCTGCATTTTTTACCTATATAACCATGTTTAGACCTATAGAGCCGATTCTAAATGAAGTGACTATGTTCTGAGTATAAAGTATTAACTGCTTCCATTGTCTGAACATAGTTACTGTGTATGGCAATTAAAATACTCCCATAATAACTGCATTCTATAGTTCCAATAGTGACTTAGAGGCCGGTGGAAGGAGCAACAATGCACAGCAGTGTGCCAAATGCTAGAGACATTTCAGTAAGTTTAGAAATGCAAAAAAAAGCTGAAATTGGCAGCACAGGAAAAGTATTCATTGAATACTTTGCAGCAAAGGGCTTCGTTTTTTGTTTTTTTTTAACAGCAACATGGCCCTTGCTGTCCTCCACTTAATAAGTGCCTCTCTTCCTTGCAGCCAGTATTTTATGCTCCATGTCCCTGCTATGAAATGTTGTTGCAATTGTTACTCTAATGTTTAATACCACAGTGCTACACTCTTAAGTAGGTGTGGCGCTCAGACAATGTGGCCCCTTTTAGATTTATTCCTATAAATTAAGCCCACGGTCCGACATGCCTGATCTAGGGTAACACTGTTATGATACAACTCAAGAACTGACCCTTGGATCATGCACATCTGCAGCACTATTTACATCTTCCTTAATCCAAGGGTCATGTACAATAAAATCAGATAAATAGGTAGAGGAATGAGGAAAATATTTAAAAAAAACATCATAAAGGGGTATATTTATAAAGCAGTAAATGTGACAATCACCAAACATTCAGTGCAGGTGAATCTTCCTGGTGCGTGTGTTTAAAATGACAGGGAGTTATTCAAATGCAGTAAATGCTGAATGTTACGTTCACTCATTTATAAATGTGTCCCCAAAGTCTTGTAAAAGCCTGGAAAAATATAAATAAACTAATATAATAGGTGGCAACAATTATTTCTATATCTTGAATATTTTAATACTCATGCCAGTAGGTTTTCAGAATCTAGGCTTCCCTAGATTTCAGAAGGCAGTTGGTAAAAGTATGATTTATTTGACCACCTCGAAGTGTTTATACTGGCTACCAGGTCCTTGCATGTGGACCTATTGAGGGGAATTTATCAAAACTGGAGCAGACCGAGTCTAGAGCAGTTACCCATGGCAACCAATCAGCTTTCATCTTTCATTTTCAAATTTTAACTGAACAAACTGAAGAGAGAAACTGATCAGTTACTATGGGCAACTGCTCCAGATTCTGTCTGCTCCGGTTTTGAGAAATTCCCCCCTTATGACTTCATTCATGTTTAGGCTAATTGGAGAAGACATGCTGCAGATACCGCTGGTGTTGCCTTATCAGGGAGGAAACAGCTGTGATCAGACAAGGATTTCCAGTCTATGCAATTGCTCCCCCTTCCAACAAGCCTCAGCTGATGTTATCTGCTGGTGACTCATATAAAGAATGAGCAAGGTGGTGGGATGGAAACTTTTGCCTGGCATGCCATGGTTTACATCCATTTATAGCTATGCCTTCTATCTGATTGCTCCCCCTTCCAGCAAGCCTCAGCTGATGGTAAATGCTTGTAACTCATATAAAGTAAATCATTTCCTTATCTGGAACAATGTGGATCATTGGACGGGCTTCTAACGCCTATGTACTGTTTAGTAAACAACTTGAAAACACAGCATTCCTAAACATTTTTAGTTAGCGGATATGGTAGTGAAAGATTTGAAAGCGGAGTTACTGGTGAACAATTAGTTCAAAGAAGTATACCTTTAGCTTTAATATCCTTTTTCATCCTCCACTGGGGCACAAAAACCGTGATATCGCGATGTCCTTTGTCCCAGAAGTACTGTACAGCCAGTGCAATCCCGCGGCAGGAGAAAAAACGATGAAGACCATGTCTGTGGAAATTAAGAGACACTGGTAACTCTGGCAGGAATCAAAAGTTTTAATCACGCTATGTGCAAAAAACCTTTTCTTGTACAAGTTAATCATGATTTATCTACATAGCTGGTGAAACTGCTAGATGCGGCTTTCCTCTAAAAACTAAAGTTGGTACTACCATGGCCAGATTTAGTCTCTCTGCTGCCCCAAGGCCAGGTTCCTCAATGCGCCCCCCCTCTACCAGCCAAACCCCCCAAGTGAGAATGGCAGACCTGCAGGCTGCATACAATTTAATTTTGGCAACATCACTGAGATCACTTGTACAAAACAAGCAGTGGCTGTACATTTAGCTCTGCTTGTCCAAAGCAAGGCTAAATGTAGAAAACAACTGCATGTCCAGGGTGTTGGGAGATAGGAATTCCACACCCCTGCTGCCCCTCTACTCCCTGCTGCCCCAAGGCCGGGCCTTGGTTGCCCTTGTGGGAAATCCGGCCCTGGGTACTACTGGTATTTTTTGGACTGCGGTTCACTAGCAGTAAATGCAGGTGGTGCGATGGAAACCTTTGCCTGGCATGCCAAGGCTTATGGACATTCATAGCTATGCCTTCCCCTGCTGCCTTAGGTATTGGGCAGAAAATAGAGGCCTGACGACAATTGGCTTTACATTTTTATTAAAATATAACTCACAACAAACGTAGTAGTCAAAATCTTGTGAAAGAAAGCTTTACACACACACACACACACACAGACACACACACACACACACAGTGTCTATTGACGTTGATGGGCAAATGAAGCTTGCTTTTGAAATCAATTTGTATTGCAGGTGCATTTGGTCTGCAGTTGACCTGACTCAGCTGCTGTTGTATTCCCATAGATTGTATAGGGAGAGAAGCAGTGCTGAAGCCCTTAAACACAAACCCTTATACTGTTTTGGGGTTCTTGAGATTATCTGATTTGAAATAACTTCTACTATGAAATAACCTACTCGTAGACTAGAAATTACTAAAAAAAACGAGACATGCATGGAAACCTTAACCTGATAGGTGCACATAAGCATATGTTCATTAGTTGGTTGTATGCTTTGTGAAAGAATATTATGAGTCATGAAAAGGATGTGATAGAAGCATGAAAGAACACATGAGAAAACGTGGGGAATACTGAAGACACATTGCTGAAAACACCTCTTATGGAGTAAAAATAGAACTGACTTTCCATTAAAAACAAAAAGTTTCACATTTTGTTAACCGAATGTCCCTGAAAATAAAAACAGTAAAAGCACCAGAGATTATGTAAAGGTAAAAACACTCCAGCTCATAAACTCATAACATTCTGATACACCATCACTATGCGATACAGTTTTTTCACCTATATATCACTGCTGTAGTGTGTCACTATCAATGCTAAATGATGTTACATTAAAGGAGAACTATGGGGTCAGGGCTTTTCCCCATAGTTCTCCTTAGGGTAACGGGAGGACACAAACTAGCGTCCTCCCGTCACCCTAAGCTCAGTATACCGCGAGCTACAGCTACTGACACACCTCTGTTGATATTCGATAGCATTTTGTGACGAGAGTTCGTTGGGATTGGGTCTGGTATGAATTGAGGAAGGGAACCACGCTGTTTTTTTTATTTCAATGTTTAACCACAAAAGTTCATCCGAACAACATTTGGAAATAATTTTGGATGCATCCAAATTTTGTTATTGGAAAATTCATTCAGATTCATTATTTCTTTCATTCAGAAATTCAGACTTAATCTGCCGATATTCGTACAAATTTCAATTCACACGTCTACTTAGATCTCACACTACATATATACAGATATGAAGCTGTAGGCACAGGAGTGGCTAGTCACCCTGGCACATCAGGAAGTGTGCTGTTAATTTTTAGAAGGAATTCAAAGTTACAACAAATACATTTTTCAGAGTACTGATTAGGCTATATAACATAGTAGATCTTCACTTTTTGAGTTTATTTATGCCTTTAAGTGGAATCATGGTTTGGTAGACATATTTGTTCGATTAGCACTTCAAATCAAATTTTAAACAATGTAAGTGGAGAACTGCGGGCTCCAGAAGGTTTTTTTTTTGTCTCGGGGACCTTGTGTAATGACTTTATGTGATTTGCTGTAGCCACTATTCGACAAAACCCAACTGAAAAATTTACTTTTGTCGAAATACGCTGGAGGATCGGAGCGGGGAGGGGGGAATCCAGTCCCTCCCCTGATCCCCGGACGTTCACCCCTTTCCTCCCCTTTCTTTGGGACCGGAGAGATGCGTATTGCATCACTTCCAGTCCCATAGCTGTTATTGCTGGGCTCCTGAAGATCTGCACTTCAGTAGCTTATTTAAAGTAGAGAGGTGATACTAGGCGTCTTTTGGACCCCCAGTATTACCTTAAAGTGGACCTGTCACCACCAATATGCTATCCCATGGGGGGCTTGTAAGCCCTCCTATGTGATAGCAATTAAAGTATTTTAAAAAAAAAGTTTTAAAAATATAAAATAAATTAAATGTAAAAATAATAAAACAAATGTTTTAAGTCTCCCGCCCCTGCGAGCATGACCGTCGTCACATAAACACGTGTCGGGAGCACCTACGACGATTGCGCTGCACATGTTGGGTATCGTCTTGCACGCCAGAGCAATAATTCTGGGGCCGCGTATCTCTAAACTGATGACCTGTGGGGGCTTCTGAAGCGTTGTCTAAAGCGTTGTCTATCAACTTTTTGGGGTACTGAATTCTGTCGCAGTTTCACAGAGGCACACAATGTTTAACCTGGGCATGTTAGGTATCTATTTACTCGTTGTAACCTCATCTTTTTATATTTGAGCAAAACAAATGGTTTTATATTGTGTTTTGGGGCACTAAATCTAACAAGTGTATTTTTCACTAAATTTTGGTGTTTGATAATACGTTGCGCTAAAGTTGTGCACCATAAAAATTTGCAACTGCCAACATTTTATTCTATAGGGTCTTGGCTTTCAGAAAATATATAATGTTTGGGGGCTTTAAGTAATTTTCAGGCCTAAAATGTGGATTATAACATGTGAACAAAAACTTAAAGGAAACAAAAATTGGAGAACGGAAGCGCCACTACCTGGCGCAATAAATATGGTGAAGCCGGGTGAGAGGGATAGGTGAGTACAGGAGGCCCCAGCGTGTATCCACCTCCGCCTCCTCTCCGGATCCACACTCATCCCCTACAGCAGGCATGTCACAACACAAGGGGACATCGTAACACCTCGGCAGCTGTACCACCCACCCTCCAGCACCGCGTCTCTCCCCAGCGCTGGACCATGCAGACGTCCAGCAGGACAGCCACGCCAGCACTCATTCAGAGGATCATCCCACAGCCTTCTACCCAGGCACCACAGGAGCCTACCATCGTCGTTGAGAGCCAGCCTTCACTTTCCTTGCGGTGAGTTACAGAATCTCTTTCTCCCTTTGCTCACCCATCTCATCTCCCCTTGCTATTTCTGTGTTTACATCTGCCCAACCTGGTTATACCACCACACCACCCATCCTAAGAGGAATCGTCTCCCACCACTACTCCACTCCACCTCACGGCCTTCGTAAAAGCGAATGATCGACCTATCATAGGTGAGTACATCACCTATCCCTCTCACCCGGCTTCACCATATTTATTGCGCCAGGTAGTGGCGCTTCCGTTCTCCAATTTTTGTTTCCTTCTAGCACACCTGTTGGACACCACGGTCCGAACACCATGGAAGCTGCACACCCACAGAGCAATAAAGACGCTTCTATCTGCCTACCAAATTAAACCCCCAACCTACCCCCCCGCCCCCTCTTTCAACATTTCCACATAAAAAAAATGTCACGCTCCAATCACAAACGGGGTACCCACCTAGTACCGCCACTCACCCCACCTCTGATGAGCGCCACACATGGGGTAAAACTCTTTGAACTTTTCAACAAAAACTTAAAGAAGGCCTTTGTCCTTAAGGGGTTAAAAACACCCCCACCCCAGGGTTGCCACCTGTCCAGGATTCACCCGGACAGTCCGGCTTTTGAATGCTGTGTCCGGGTGTCATGGCAGCAGAAACCCGGATACAAGATGTCAGGCAGACAGGGTAAGAGAGGGGCTACTGGCTCCCCACTGAAAATAGTCTCAACTGTGATATTTACATATAAATAAGCCGCAACTCATTCTCCCAAAAAATGTCTGTGCGTCGCTAGAGTGTTCGGGTTGCACTTGAAAACAAATTGTAGCAACCCTACCCCACCCCAATGCTAAAGGGCATGTGGGCTGGTATCAAAAACCAGAAAAATATACAGCTTCAAAACTTAAAAAAAAAAAAAAGTACTTTAAAATACACATCTCCCACTCCAAACTAGGTAAAAGTTTGAATGTTTTGCAAGACAAAAATAAAAAGATTATGTTAGGAGAATTTCAGAATTGTTCCCATTGAAGAACACATGTTGGGGGAAAAAAGTTGTTTGTTGCATTTTTTACCTGGTGAATCTTCTTTGAAATCAGTGTTTGTGAATGTGGAAAAAATTATAAAAATGTTGGGTCAAGTTACGATCAAATCAACAATAAATATATATTATTGTGTTAAAATGCACATATTTCCTAACACGTAGGTATGAACCCCAGAAAAACAAGTCACATGTTCAGTGATTTCTTTTGAAAAATTCATAAAACATGCAGTTGTATAACTGCCCGGTATTTTCAGGTTGCTCTTTGACAGTAATTTTCCACTATATATCTATGTATTTGTATAGTTCCTTGCTAGGTAACTGTGTAATGTCCGTTAGTTACATTTCTAGGTTTCGAAATAATTAGGCAACACTGGTTTTGAAGATTACAAATACATTACATGCAGTAGGAAACACAAGAATTTCCCTATACAAATGAACAGAATACAGGTAATGACAGAATTAAAAAGAAAGCCAGATCTGTTGACACAACACTAAATATGCAGTGGCTCATAAGGTTACCTGAGCCCCGGGCTGGGAGGCTCCAAGCTCTCAAGTTTACCTGAGCCCT